CATGCCCAATGAAGAAACTCCACGCCCAAGGTCAAACCCCACGCCCAAGATGAAACCCCACGCTCAAACTCCAACCCCACGCGTAATCTCATACCCCACGCCCTAGGAAGAAACCCCACGTCGTTACTCAAACCCCAAGCCTAAAGAGAGGACCCCACGCCCAAGGAAGAACCCCACGCCTAAGAGGGACCCCACACCTAAACTCAAACCCCATGCCCAAGGAATAACCCCACGCCCATCCTGATACCCCATGCCTAATGTATCAACCCTACGCCCATCCTGAAAACCCACACCTAAGCTCAAAACCCACGCTTAAAGAGGGACCCCACAACTAAGGAAGAACCCCATTCCCAAGGAAGAAACCCCATGCCCATCTTGAAACCCCACGCCCAAGGAAGAAACCCCATGCCCAAGGAGAAACCCTAAACGAACCAACCCCACGTCCTAGGACCAACCCCACGCCAACAAACCAACCCCACGCCCAACCAACCGACCCCTCGCCCAACTAATAAGCCCCACGCCTTAGGGAGGACCCCATGCTCGAGGGACACCACGCTTATATAGGGGCGGGGCCAACGCCCAAGGAAACCCCACGCTTATAGAGGGACCCCACACCTAAGGAAACCCCAAGCTCATATAGGGACCCTACGCAATACTTCTTTGGGGTGCTCAAAGTTTCCGAGGATAGTAATCTTCATGCCCTAGATGAACAGAACAATATCTTTTGGTCATCAAATTTATCTAATGATCAGGCAAATAATTCAATAGCTCAGCTTTTAGATATTCTGCTTTCAAATGCTATTGGGGAGACAATCTAGCAGAGTTTGGAACATCCTTCACACAACTTTTAAATATTCTTCTTTCAAATGCTATTGGGGAGACAATCTAGCAGAGTTTGGAACATCCTTCACACTCATTGTTGCCATCAATGCACGTTGATGTGCATAGTAGCTCAATTTTTAGACTTTTATTCGCCGAGAAATAATAATTGCCGAAATGTTTATCATGGTCCCTAATATTTTCGTGAGTCCAATTGGGTGGGTGAAACCATCCAATTTTCCTTTAAACGACCAATTTACCGATTTACAACTTACACCGATTTCAATAACTCAAGTCTACCACGAACATTTATGACAACATATAATGATCATATAAGGTTCCAAATGGCATTATATGACCCCGAGATGTATTCCGTAAAATCTCAAAAAATTTCGACACCGTACCCAACCTCAAAAATTTCTCAAAAAGCGTGGATATAAGCCTTCAATTTTAGAATTTTTTTTACTTTTTTCGACCGGAAATAAAAAATGTCGAAATTTTTACCATGGTCCCTAATAGAGGTGTTCATAAATCGGTACGGACCGAAAAAATGGACCAGACCACCCCAGACCGGACCGGACCGGACCGAATTAATCGGTTCGGCCTTCGGGTCTTGAAATTCATTTTTTCGGTCTTCGGTCCAGTTAAGTCCTAAACCCTATAAAAACCGGTTTTGGACCGGACCGATGTTTTTTATTAAAAATATGTGTGAAACCTTAAATAATGGTTAAAATTATCCTTAATAAGCTTAGAAAACTTTAAATTATAAGCTTTTTTGCACTAAACATACAAAAAAAGACGTAAAAATGACGTTACAATATAGTATTTCCAATACTTTTTTTGTGCTTTCCTAAACTTTATAAAAAAATTTAGTATTCTTTTTAAAAAAATTCTTAAATTGGTCCAATGCGGTCCGGTCCGGGTTTTGGACCGATTCTTTCGGTCCGGTCCGGGTTCGGTCCTAACTTAATCGGTCCATTCTTCGGTTCTTAAAATTCTAATTTTCAGTCTTCGGTCCAATTCGGGTCGGTCCGGTCTGGTTTTGGACCGATGAACAACCCTAGTCCCTAATACCTTTTGAGAGTCCAATTGGGTTAGTGTATCCATCCAATTTGCCTTTAAACGGCCAATTTACCGGTTTACAACTTGCAACGATTTCATTAAATCAAGTCTACCACGAACATTTATGACAATATATAATGATCATAAATGGTTCCAAACGGAATTATATGACCCCGAGATTCATCCCCTAAAATTTCAACGTTTTACGACACCGGGCCTCGAAACCTCCAAAATATCTCAAAAAGCATGGATCTTAAGCCTACAATTTTTTGAATTTTTTGACTTTTTTTTCGCTCGAAAATTAAAATTGCGGAAATTTTTACTATGGTCCCTAATACCCTCCGGGAGTCTAATTGAGGAGGTGGAACCATCCAATTTGCCTTTAAATGGCCAATTTACTGGTTTACAATTTGCACCGATTTCATTAACTTAAGCCTACTACTAACATCTATGACAACATATAATGATCATATAAATATGGTTCCAAACAACATTATATATTTATATGACCCCTAGATGTATTCCCTAAATTTTCAAGACTTTGCGACATCTGGCCATGAAACCTTCAAAATTTCTCAATAAGCGTGGACATTAGCCTTTAATTTTGGAAAATTTGACCTTTTTTTGCCAGATAATAAAAAATTGCCGAAATGTTTAACATGGTCCCTAATACCCTCCGGTAGTCCAATTGGGTGGGTGGAACCATTCAATTTGCCTTTAAACGACCAATTTACCGGTTTACAACTTCCACCGATTTCATTAACTCAAGCCTACCACGAATATTTATGATAACAAATAATGATCATATATATAGTTCCAAACTACATTATTTGACCCCGAGATGTATTCCCTATAATATCAAGAATTTTCGATACCGGGCCTAGAAACATCAAAAATTTCTTAAAAAGCGTGGATATTAACCTTTAATTTTGGAATTTTATGACTTTTTTTCGCCCGGAAATAATAATTGCCGTAATGTTTACCATGGTCCCTAATACCTTCCAGGAGTCCTATTGGGTGGGTGGAACCATCCTATTTGCCTTTAAACGACCAATTTACCGGTTTACTACTTGCACCGATTTCATTAACTCAAGCATACCACGAACATTTATGACAACAAATAATGATAATATATGGTTCCAAACAGCATTATATGACCCTAAGATGTATCCCCTATAATTTCAAGACTTTTCGACACCTGGTCCCGAAACCTCCAAATTATCTCAAAAAGTGTGGATATTAGCCTTCAATTTTGGAATTTTTTGTTTTTTTTTCGCCCGAAAATAAAAATTGCCGAAATGTTTACCATGGTCCTTAATAACCTTCGGGAGTCCAATTGGGTCGGTGGAACCATCCAATTTGCCTTTAAACGACCAATTTACCGGTTTACAACTTGCACCGATTTCATTTATTCAAGCCTACCATGAACATTTATAACAACAATTAATGATCATATATGGTTCCAAACGGCATTATATGGCCCCGAGATGTATCCCATAGAATTTAAAGACTTTTCGACACCGGGCTCCGAAACCTCCAAAATTTCTTAAAAAGAGTGGATTAAATTTTGGAATTTTTTGACTTTTTTTGGAATTTTTTGACTTTTTTTTCGCCCGGAATTAAAAATTGTCGAAATGTTTACCATGGTCCACATTACTCTCCGGGAGTCTAATTGGGTGTGTGGAACCATTTTATTTTTTAAACGTCCAATTTACCGGTTTATAACTTGCACCGATTTACCGGTTTACCGGTTTACAACGACCAATTTAATTAACTTGCACCGAACCCGACTTGAACCAAAATTGACTCAACCCCGTCAAAACCCGAATTTAACCCCACTTGTTACTAACCTGACCTGAATTCAACTCGACCCGAATTTAACCCAACCTGTTACAAACCCGACCCGAAATCAACCCGACTTGTTATTGACCTGACCCAAATTCAACCCGACTTGTTATTGACCCGTCCCGAATTTTACCAGGACTATTACTAACCCAACCCAAAAATTTAACTCGATCTGTTACTAACCCGACTCGAAATTAACACGACTTGTTATTGACCCGACCTAAATTTAACCCAAATTGTTTCTGACCCGATTTCAAATCACCTTAAATGAAATTTAGACCACCTTATTATTGTTGATCAAAGCATTTTGTCTTGGGAGACCAAGTCGGTCCAGGCCAGCAAAAGAAAGGAGCATCATCCTCAAATTTAAGAGTTAAATATAGTATATATTTGTTGTATGGTCAAAGGAGATAATTATCTTCCTAAATTATAGACTATAGTTCCCTAGTATATACCCATATATATTATAGTCAAAGGAAATAATTAGTTTGATAAAAATGATATTATCTATTTATAGTTAGTTGAACCCGAATATGACCTTATTTGGAAATGACCCAACCTGATTGTAACCTGCAAATTATTGACTCGAACATAACCCGACTTGGAAATGACCCAACCTGATTATAACCCGCAAATTATTGACTTGAACCGAACTCGACTTGAACCCAAGAATGACCCGACTTGAAAATGACAGACTGATTATAATCCGCAAATTATTGAATTGAACCGAACCCGACTCAAACCCGAGAATGAACCGACCTGATTCTAACTCGCAAATTATTGACTTGAACCGAACCCGACTCGAACCCGAGAATTACCCTGACCCGTTTTAACCCGAATTAAACTTGACCTATTGTTCACTCGACCCGATTGTAACCCGACCTGTTATTAACCGGACCTAAACCCGATAAGAAGTATGACCCGACGTGACCCGACTCAAGCATGACCCAACCCAAACCCGACCCGCATAGGTTATGGAATTAATTTGAATCGACTCTGTTCGAGTTGACCCGTCCCACTCTTACCCGACCCAAACCCGACCCGTTTATCCGAATTGACAGCTCTACGTATATGATATTTCAGAAAATAATTTTATAAAAAAAAGTGTAATTGAACTAAAAATAGTACTACTATAATCACGCCAAGTTTTGCTTCATTAAATTAAAATCATTTTAGTCCATACCTAGTACAACATTTTTAGTAGGTAAGGAGAAAGCCTTATTACGTACGAAGTAGTATATTAAAATCTAAACAGGTAGATTAATCCAACAATTCTTATTTGTACTTATGATCCAGTACCTGTAAATAAAATGTGAGCCCATATCCAGAATAACCTTACGTCAAAAAAATCTTATTAAAGTCACCATTTTTTAGGTGTATGTAAAAAAAATGTGGTGGAAAAAACAAGAAAGTCCCAGAAACTCCCGCCCCTTTTAATTGTAACAGTTCTCGACAATCCCAAACTCTTCTCTTCCTTTCCAACTCCACATCTTCTTCCTTTCTCTCGATCCTTCACTATATATATATATATTGCCCACCTCATAACTCATTCAATCAACGCAGAAAACACACACAATCAAACAACAAGATCTTCAATAACCCTCTCTTTACTTACAACAAAAACTACACAAATCATCATGTCAGCCGGCGCGAAAGCTGAAGGTAAAGCTATCGGTATCGACCTCGGTACAACCTACAGTTGTGTGGGTGTATGGCAAAATGATCGAGTTGAGATCATTCCCAATGATCAAGGCAACCGTACCACCCCCTCGTATGTCGCCTTTACCGACACTGAGCGGCTTATTGGTGACGCTGCTAAGAATCAGGTTGCCATGAACCCTCAGAATACTGTCTTTGACGCTAAGCGTCTTATTGGTCGACGTTTCTCTGATGCTACTGTTCAGGCCGACATGAAGCACTGGCCTTTTAAGGTTGTTCCTGGACCGGCAGACAAGCCTATGATTGTTGTCAACTATAAGGGGGAAGAAAAACAGTTTGCCCCTGAAGAGATTTCTTCTATGGTTCTGACAAAGATGAAGGAAGTTGCTGAAGCTTATTTGGGACAGACTGTTAAAAACTCTGTTATTACTGTCCCTGCGTATTTTAATGATTCTCAGAGGCAGGCTACAAAGGATGCCGGGTCGATTTCCGGGATGAATGTCATGAGGATCATTAACGAGCCTACTGCGGCTGCCATTGCTTATGGTTTGGATAAGAGGGCGTCGAGGACAGGGGAGAAGAACGTCCTCATTTTTGACCTTGGTGGCGGGACCTTTGATGTGTCCCTTCTTACAATTGAGGAAGGGATCTTTGAAGTGAAGGCCACTGCAGGTGATACTCATCTCGGAGGTGAAGATTTTGATAATAGATTGGTGAATCATTTTGTTGCTGATTTTAAGAGGAAGCATAAGAAGGATATTTCTGGAAATGCTCGGGCGTTGAGGAGGTTGAGGACTGCCTGTGAGAGAGCAAAGAGGACTCTCTCGTCGACTACTCAGACGACGATTGAGATTGATTCCTTGTATGAAGGGATTGATTTCTATTCTACCATCACAAGGGCGAGGTTTGAGGAGCTGTGTATGGATATGTTCAGGAAGTGTATGGATCCTGTGGAGAAGTGTTTAAGGGATGCAAAGATTGACAAGGCTAAAGTGGATGATGTTGTTTTGGTAGGAGGGTCCACCAGGATTCCTAAGGTACAGCAACTTCTGCAAGACTTCTTTAACGGGAAAGAGCTCTGTAAGAGCATTAACCCGGATGAGGCAGTTGCGTATGGAGCTGCTGTGCAGGCTGCTATTCTGTCAGGTGAAGGTGATCAGAAGGTTCAGGAACTGCTCTTGCTTGATGTTACCCCGTTGTCTCTAGGAATTGAGACAGCAGGAGGTGTGATGACTGTGCTCATTCCAAGGAATACTACAATTCCAACGAAGAAGGAGCAGATTTTCTCTACTTATTCTGATAATCAGCCAAGTGTGCTGATCAAGGTGTACGAAGGAGAGCGTCCTATGACCAAGGACAACAACTTGTTGGGTACCTTTGAGCTTAAAGGAATCCCTCCGGCCCCTAGGGGAGTCCCACAGATTAATGTTTGCTTCGACATTGATGCAAATGGTATCCTGAATGTTTCTGCAGAGGATAAGACTGCAGGGGTGAAAAACAAGATTACCATCACTAATGATAAGGGGAGGTTGAGCAAGGAAGAGATTGAACGAATGGTGAAGGAAGCAGAGCAGTACAAGGCCGAAGATGAGGCTGTGAAGAAAAAGGTGGATGCTAAGAACTCCCTCGAGAACTATGCATACAACATGAGGAACACTATTAAGGATGATAAAATTGGAGGGAAGTTGGATGCTTCGGATAAGCAGAGGATTGAGAAGGCTGTTGATGAGGCAATTGAGTGGTTGGATAAGAATCAGTTGGCTGAAGTAGAGGAGTTTGAGGATAAACAGAAGGAGTTAGAGGATTTGTGTAATCCTATTATCGCAAAAATGTATGGTGGTGGTGCTGCTGGTGCAGGGATGGATATGGGTAGTGACATGCCAGGTGGTGGTGCTTCAGGTGGTATGGGTGGAGGTAGTGGTGGTGCTGGGCCTAAGATTGAGGAGGTCGATTAAGAGAGTTATGTTTTATGAGCATGATTTAGGATTTCCTCTGTTATTATCGAATTGTTCTTGACTTGTGATTTTGTATTTTGGGGTTTTTCTAGGGGGGAAAGGGGGCCAGGTATATTGAGGAATAAAGCTTAGCTTATGTTTTAGCATTGTAACTTTGATGGTTGTAATTAATATTATCATATGACATAAAATATATTTTGTTATAATTCAAATCCAGTTATGTTGTGCATTGCATACCTAGTGCATGAAGTATTACCTTGATTTGACATTGTTTAACATGTTTGATTCAAAAAAACATTAAGCAGTAGATAAAATATATAATGGAGGGGCAAAATTTCTACTTATAATGATTCATTTAGGCTTTAGCTATCAATAAAAATAATGTAAAATATTAATTGATACTCCGTAATCATTTATTATAATAGGTAAAACACAACAGTCACTTCTATTTCAGAAAGAAAACAAAAGCTTATTTCCGCTTAGCCTAATTATGTAGGAAGTTAAAAATGGAACTTTATACTAAGATTTTAATTAAGGAACTATTGACCAATTTAAATTGGTTCAATCAGGGTGATTTCTTTCTATGATTCCCAGTTTTATATATAAAAAATAAAAATATGAAGAATATAAATAAAATCAGTGTTCTTTGAATAGAAACTCCATTTTCCTTACAGAACAGTATAAACTCTTTTTCAGCTTCATTCTATGGGCAGAATAATGCAGCAAGCTAACTTAGCTAAGATTCATAATTCCATAGCCTATGTAGGAGTTGAACCTACATCATAGTGCGAATCGCACATAGCTCTACCAATTGAGCTAATAGGCTTTAATTGGTTTTCGGAGGAAAAAAACATGTCAAGCATTTTGTAATAAGAATACAAAACTTGGCCCAAACTACCACAACTGATGCAATAAAACTACCCAGACATACAACATGCTCATTTCAGCTAAAACAGAGCAACAAAGAGATACCACTCTGAACTGCATTACACATTCAGCTTAACTGTATTGATTAATTTTGCAGTCACACTGTGAGGGGTAAAACCTTGCGCCAACATTAGTTCACTGTTTAATGACTTTACAAACAAATCTCAAATTCCTAAAAACCCAAACAACACAGATCAACATCCCTCAAAAAATAGACATAAACACCTCCAAAAACCATCCCAACAATTACAAAATCAACAAGTATATTCACAATTACCTCAAGAGACTAGCATTAACTTGACCTTATATCATAAAATATACACTTCCAAACCAACAAGGAAAAATCAATATACCAACAAGGAAAAATCAAAATACCAACAATGAATAATCAATATAACAACAATGAACAATCAATATCTCAAGCTTTATCTCAATTCAAATTCTTCCACCCCACTGAGACTCTGAGAGAATATAAACTGAAAACATACCCACACACTCCAAAGCCCTCTCTCAAAACCTAGAAGACTCACTGAAATAAGATTGAGAACTCAAGAAGACCTCTGCATTTATAAAGATTGAGAAACTCAAGATTAAGAAAATCAAGAAGACTCACTGATATAAGATTTATAAAGATTCAGCTGGCACAATACATTTTCCCCATACTACTTGATCACACTTGCATTCTACGCAAAATATTCCATTTGGAACTCAGCACTGCATATCAATCTAGCCCAATTTAATATTTCAACACAACCATTAAGAAAAACTTCCAAATCATTAAGAAATGAACTATAGAGACATAAGCAGGTCAATAACCATTCAACCAATTCATTATCAAAAGCAAAAACTCTACCCACCTGAGGGGCAAAACATTCAAGCTATTATAGGCTTATAGCACTATGCCAGAAAAAAAAGTCGCAAGCACTCAGTGGTAAAATACATCCCAAAGAACTGCAAATAGTGCAAAATCTCCTCGATGAAAAAATACACTCCAAATCCCATACAATTCAATAATCATCCAATCAATTCATAATCCTATAAAAGTCCTGCATACCAAAACACAATCCAAGAAAGAGGGATAAAACCTACAGCCATATATAGTTATCTGTGGTTTACATGTTATTTTAAACAAGATAAAATTGCAAAAATAAAATAAAACCGGATCAGGAAAAATTTTCTATTCTTACTTTTTTATTTAGTATACACTGTATACACAATATACACAGTTAAATACTTCCTCCTAACCCATATCTAGCATGATACGCTAAAACAAGACACCAAATAATGTTATGCCATATCACACTACGATCATTAGTTTGAAATTGTATTCCATCCTCAAAATCAACAGCCCTTGTCAATCACACCATATAAAAACACTTCGTATAAATCATGAAGTAGCTCACATCCCTCTAACCATTGATAAGAACAAACCTATCCTTGACACCAGCATTTTGCAATACATGTATTAATACTAAGCATCAAAACAGATACTAACTTACTAAAATGACTTACTAAAATCCTCTCCAAAGTCATCCAACCAATTCATAAATCTCTTTCTATTCCTAAATGCCTAAACACCATTGGACAGTTAAAGCCTTAAACCATAACATCAACTCAAGAAAAATATCAGAACACAAAAAAAATTAGAATATTGAAAACCATACAAACTTCTAACAAAGTTAAAACCAATCAAAATTAACTCAATTTTCTGTAAACTTACATCACATTAAAATTAACATATATATTCAGTACAATGAATCAACTCACATATAATAAACAAAAAAAGATGATAATTCCACAACACAAGTAGCAAATTACAGTAACATTTACTAGATTAGTTGATTGCGAGGTTCGGGTGGTGTTGACATTAGAAGTTTCCCAAAATGTTGACTGGAGTTGAGCGATTTGGAGGAGAGAGAATCAGCTCCGATGAAACCCTAATATACCGAACTCAAACACAATTAGAACTAATTTTAATCTAACAAGTGATTGGATGTTACAATTACCAAAAAATTTCCCCAATTTGAAGATTTGATCGATGATTTACGTAATCGGAGTGTGAGTTTAGACGAACAGATAGAATCGGAAACATCGTCTGAGGTTAGGGTTAGGGTTTTGATCGGAATAGATAGGTTTCCGACGAGGAAACTGAAAGCAGAGAGAAATTTTACACATTTACCGATTTACGGAGTACGATTACAATTTTATACTGTGAACTTATTGCACTTGTGAACTTGTTGACTTATTGACCTTGTTTGACAATTAACATGATTATTTACTGTATTGAGCTGAAAAAGTTAATTATATTGGTTGTATAATTGAATTAATGGACTACTCAATATTTTACAATGACTTCCTAAATTTTGCACAATTGTAATTTTTAAATCATGAATGAGTATAATTGAATTAATTTACCTTAATTAAATGTCAATAATTAATGAGTTAATAATTTGACCTTTGATTCACATAACATTCAACATGGCACTTAGGGCCTATTCTGAATATTTTATGAGAGAAAAAAAAAATTAAGTGAATTGAACTTAGCTGAAAAAATCTGAAAAGAATAGGTCCTTAATTAAAATTTTTGTGCCTATACTCCTACAGTGACCAACAAGCTAAGATATTTAGGGTATCATTGAGGGATTTTTTAAGAGATTACCATAAAATGTTCTTTGGACTCGTATTCAATCCATTTTTTAAATGTTACACACTTATACTTCTTTATATTGACAAACACTACAATTTAATGTTATATTTCTCCTATATAAGTCGAGTCTACACTTATCATGTCCACGAATTAAGGTGTCTTGGAATTTGAGCCTCGGTCAACTCTTGAGAACCTGCTTGAGAGTTTGTGTTGGGGGTATTTTGGTAGTTTCATTTATTCACTAGAGTTGCATAAAGAGCCACAATTGTCATTACTAGAATGTACAAAGAGCATTATCTTCCTTGGCATCAAGCATCAAGCACCTATAATGTTGATGGCAAGCCTCACCGACGTCAAAACCATTAAAAATAATGACAAGTCTATTGGTCAATCCAAAACATTATTACAGATGATAGATATTAATCAATTGTTTTGAAATTAATTGGCGAACTGATTAGAACGATTTCCCTTAATATTGTTAAAATAGAAATTAATTCCCATTATGCTTCGTTTTAAAAACAAATTCCCAAAGTAGTGTCCACGTAGGATTGATTTTCGGTTCAACTTAAAACCGCTAACGGTATTAGCGGTTTTGCAATTTTTGTAAAATAAAGTCAAAGAGACCTGTTTTTATTGAAAGGCTGTCTCTTTGAAGTTATAAGTGTAATTGTCAGCGCTCTCTTTTCTTGTTGTGGGCTAAGAATTAACAAGGGCACAAAGAGACCTGTCGTATTGAAAGACGGTCTCTTTGAAATAATTTTCCTGTAGACTATGCCTTGTGAATTAACCAAGGACGCAAACAGACCTGTTATTACCATTAACGGTTTTAAGTTGAACCAAAAGCAAAAAAAACGATCCTACGTGGACACTATGTAGGGAATTTATTTTTAAATTAATGTATTATGGGAATTGATTTTTATTTCAACAATATTATGGGAAATCGATAATCTCTCACATCCTCCCCATCTTAAATACCATTACTGTACTCCGTATTGATTAAAGACAAAGATGATTACAGAATTAATTAACGACAGAGATCTGTGTAATTACTGAACAAAGAGTACAAAAGCTAGAGCACAGTATTAAATCAACGACAAAATAGCAGCAGTATAAATTGTCGGAATTTATGTATTATTATCAGCCAATTCACTGCAATTTCCCTCGTGGTTTAACCTGCAACTTGCCATTTTTTTTTTTTTTGGATTTTGATTTAACTTGCCAAATGAAATTATTTGACAGTAAAATTATGGAATAATTGCAGTAAATCAAAGAAAAAGACTGTTTATTCCCACCGTCGATTTAACGAAATCACGATGATTTGGATATTTAGTGGTCTCCAACCAATCACCCACGATCTTACACAGTCATCAAAGATGCACCACTGATTCTTTCCTTATTCCATTTTTATAATAAAGTTTTTATTTTTATAATTTTATGAGAGAGAAAGAATGATCGATCTATGCTATCCATGATTCTTTCATACCTTAATTTAGCGTCATTATATTGAAAAATTAAGGAATACCCTGTTTCTATTTTATTCACAGATCCCAAAGAAATTAACCCCAGAAAAAGACTTGTCTAAATTCTTTGAATTTCACGAATTGATCGTACACCCATTTGAGAAGGGAGAAA